TGTTCGGCAGTATTTTACCTTTTTTATGCATATTATTATTAATTCCTAAATGTAGTAATAAGTAAAATTTAACTAATATTTATTTTCAAATATTCCGATTTTTTCCTCTTTCATTTTTGAAGCAAAAGAAATACGTTTTTTAAGCTAAACAAACTAACATTTTGTACCTGTTTTTATGACCATTTGAACCCTCAGCTTTCAATGTGTATGTTTTTAACGGCAAAGATTCTAAGAATTTCACCCCCTTTAGAAATCTTTGTCGCCAAAGGAGAAAGTCGGAGTACCAGTTTTTTACCAGTTACCAGTGTAAGTAAGTACCCTTTAAGAGATTGACCAAGCTGTCTCGCCGAGACAGTACCAACCAACCAACCAACCATTTGTTACCACCAAAATCATTTTTGTATATAGTTTTGTATATATATTCAATTTAATAAATAGTGATTATCTTTAGTTAGAGACATCACATTCGGAAATTATTGAAGTGACCCAATTACCTATTAAGTTTACACTTTCGATAATTTACGAAAAAACACTTGTTATTTTACGTATATGTAGGTACAAACAAATAAAAGATAGGGGATGTTATAGCTGACTATAATTTGTTTCTTTTTAACACTGTAAATCTTATGCCTGTATAAAGTTGAAACTCTAACTAACGAGAATTATTAAAGCAACCTAGGTTTATATCAATTTCACGAGGCGGCCAGAGTTACATACCTAATTAGTTTTGGCGCCTGCCAAGTTATTGGATAAATAATTGCGTTTACAAATTTAGTAGCGACTGTAATCGGGTATCTTAACCGTAATTGTTTCTTTTGCATTCTCTTCTTCGTCAGAAATATGCTATAACACCCGAGTAATATTGTTTACCATAAAGATTGTATCAAAATCTCATTTTTTATGCTCCATGTGTAGTAACGAGAAAGTCGCATGGGTCTATACTTTTCTAGAATGTCAGGAAAACGCGGTCGTTTTAATTTTTAAAATTGAAATGAGAAAATAATATTTGATTTTACCGAAGCGGTATTTGTGGAATAAGGCAAACGTAGAAATTACGGTATACAGGTTATGCGGTCGATTTTTCTTCATTCTTTTACTAATTTGTTAAAAATCGTTTAATTTTAAATATTATAACTATTTTAAAATTACGAAAGATTAGCTATTCCCTCGTAAAAGGAGTGGTATATATCTACTAATTTTTTGTAATAACACGAAATAATTACAAAATGTATAGGGTTGTTCGGAAAGTCATTTCGTTTATTTTTGTGGAAATGAAAGACAGTTTTCGTACAAAAAACAAATACTTTATTAAATTATATATTGACCGTTCTGGTCCAACACCTTTTGCCATCTTTCTGGNCCTTTGGTTACGCTTCATAGTTTGATGTATAGATGGCAGTGAAATTCGAAGTTTTCTTTGCCAATACCATTTATATATATATTCCAAGTATCGTCTACTAATGTGGGGTAAACTTAGATGTCACTACTATCGTCCAAATCTCGAGAGTTTTACATCTATTTACCTAGTCTAGGACTAATCTGATGCTTAACTTTTTTTTTAATCTCTACGCTCACAGAGTACAGTATTGAAACTTGCGCGACATCTGTACTAATTTTTACAAATTACTATAGCTAGTGCACCTTAATAGTAGGTACTGGTACACACAGTAAATGCAGTAAATGTAAATCATTGTAAATATATGAGAAATTGAAATTTGGCTGGACATTTGGTGATACATATTGAATAAGACAAAAAAAATAAAACGCTTTGTACACTTTGTTTGAGAAATTTATTAGGATAACTTTAACAATTGTTTGGGCTGCTAATGGAAATGAAAGATGGCAGCAGTGCATTAAAATAATAAAATTACTTATAACTGCAATATTAAAAACAATGGAATAACGAAATATTCTACATTTAATTCCTATTTTTCAAGAAATATTTTATAAAAATAAATTCTAAATTAATTAATACTAACCGGTATAGCATAAATTGTATTTATTTCACCTTATCAAAGTCGATAATGAGTAAGGGATGACACGCGCTCAGTTTGTGCGAGGTGCTGGTAGGGGTTGGTTGTCTCGTGAAAACTCCGAAATGGCTGAAGCCACAGGTTCTGCGAGTGTTAATCCTAATGTAGAAATTGTGCGAGGGCAAGCTTTCGAAGTGGGCCCCCGATATACAAATCTGTCATATATAGGCGAAGGCGCATATGGTATGGTGGTGTAAGTACTCGTTTTTATTGACTCTTGATTACTAAGCATATTAAAACACACCCTTCAAATTTCATTCTAGTTAATTTTTTTAAAGAAATTATATTAAAAAGCTGGATTTTTATAGGCTTTATGTTGAGCCCTGCTTGTTTCTGCTAGAGGTTATGACTATTTTTACAGTTTGACTATGTAAGGTAGGATTTATTTTATTTAACTTCATTTATAGGTAACTGAATAATTCAAATGTTTGTTTTTAAATTGAAGTACGAATATCTACAAAAAACAACTATTAGTTTTAGGTTATGTAAATAATTAAATTTTTCATGTAGGTATTACAAAAAGGATGGCGCTTGTTTTGTTTTTCTATATGTGTGTTGTTTTTCATACTACTGTTAGTCTTTTTGTCGTGACAGTTAATACATAAACAAAAGATAAAATAGAAATAAAATGTTCTATTTTATGTATGTATGTAGGTAAGTGCATTGTAGGTTTTAGTAGAAAGGACCATATAGTACTAAGCATTTATTGAAGGGTACTGTGGATACTATGTAATCTAGTTTTGAAAAAAAAAGTGTTATGTTAACGTCTTTTAGAAGAATTTACTGGTAGGTAGATATTATCAACATGTCAACTCGATAGTATGAAATAAAATCAGATACCTATTAATAATAATGGCAATTTATCTAGTAGCTATTGTTTATATTCACTTAACCAATTAAAAGTCAGGGATAGGATACGTCCCTATTTATCTACTGACATATAGTTATACACACATACAGGGTTTACCAAGGAAGTCTATACCTACCTAGTCAAAATTTAATTTTTAAATTTAAAGTTCATCTCAAATTACTACAAATATCAAATTTTCAAAATTAAGTTCGACTATTCTTAAAGCTCTAACGAAGGTCTTGCTTGTTAAACCTTGTATGTCTATTACGTACATTATTTTTGCATATTTGGGTACTTTTTAGTATACATACATTATTATTGTGCCTAAATTGTACCTTTATTGTTGAATTTGCTAGTAAAGTTACGAAAATGTAGTTTTCTAGTATTATAATTTTTTTTGGACTGTTTACGAAAAAATGATTCAAGAAGAATTTGTAGATATTAAAAAGATATACAAAATGGGCCCATGCATGTAACAATACGATATTTTGCTTTTTTTTTAATGCAGAAAACTGAAAAATTAAATAATTGTTTAAATAAACAATTATGAACGGAGGCATGCCTAATTTTAGTAGACTGTATAAGTTCTGATGTGTAGTACCTGCCTTTTTTTTGAAATATTCCATTGCATATATTGCAAAAAAAGCAGTTTTTTGCAACTTAAATTTACCAATCATAGAGACAATTACCCTACGCCCTCCTCAGCGGTTAAGTATGACACAACTTGGCAATTTAAATAGTATACCTAATTATTACAGTGCAAAGCAGATTTGAAATGGGAAATTAGGACAAATAAAATTTTGTTATACTTTGATTAGTGAGATGACGTAGGTGGTAGTGTAAATATTAATGTTTTTGTTTTTTTTTCTCGCTCTATAATTAGCATTTATTGAGCATTTAATAAATCTAATAGGTAGTGCCCTATTTTCGACTTGCTAGCATTTTTCGCAATGTAAATATTAATGTTTGTTTTCTTTATTTTCCTTTTCGTCCTATAGTCAGCACTTATTGAGCACTTAATAATTAAAACAAAAATATNTATAAAAATTATACGGCTTAAATGTGAAGTTGGGTGCAAAAGAATACAATTAAATCCTCTGTCGGCAAAAAACGAAATGACTTTCCGAACAACCCTATAGTTAAAGACAACTATGATGATTATTTTATCTTTAAAAATTAAACATTTATTTGCATAAATGAAAGAAAAAATGAAAACTGTCAGCTGTTCATATTTAGAGAGGCTTATGATTATAATAACGTCTTCACTAGGCATTTCCACGTCTTCCTAACTTTGCAGTTTTTAAAAACTTTTTTTAATTCATTAATTATTTTTTAAGTAAATAAAAAAATAACATTTGCCCCACATTATAAAGTATTAGTACTTATTATAATAAGTAGCTCACCTTAATAGAAAATATATTCCTTCATTTTTTCCAAATAGGTAGTTAACTTTATTATTGTTTTAAAAAGTCTTTGTTGCTACGGTTTCCTATGTTAGAAGCCATGTATTGGCTTATTTTGGCTAATTCTACCTGATTTTTGTTAATGAGTGAGGAATTTTAGTGGTGAATAAATAACTGCAAAATTAGTTAAAACATAACTCGTGATAGAAACGTCCTAGAAACTGAACTATTGTTGTTCTTTGTTTAATTTTCTATAAGATGGTGCTAGTTAGATAAAAAACATTATTTGTTTATTTAAAAATTGTGAAAGCCGCGCCTACATTTCAATGCACTAAAAAGCAATAAAGGAATAGTTTTTCGCAATAGTAATTTTTTCACCATGCTCATACATTTCACTTTGATAATGACATACCAGTGAGAACAATATTGTCAGCATCCAAATAAAATTGTGAAATAAATAATTTCAAGTGTCTGTCTATATTACTATTTAAACATGTTTCACCAGAAATTCATCTCATTAATAGATTTATGTAGTTCAATAAATACGTACACACATTTGGTTAAAATTACTTAAGCGGTTTTTTGAATAGGTAAACAAGTAAACAGCATTGTAAAAAACATCGAGCTTTTAGAAGCTTGGTTATCTAAATTAGAATGAGAGTTATGCACGTTCAAAGTTTGAAACACATTGTGACAAATTTAAGCAAAAAAAATTTTTCGTTGAGGGTGAATACATACTCAATCAAAGTTTAATAAGTTCAATTTCTAAGAAGTCTGTGTAATGGTTAAAAAAATAAAAATAAAGAAGTCGTAGGTAAAGGGAAATCTGGTTTTGAGGCGGGAGTGGGGGAGTGGAGCAGCCACCCTAAAAACCATCTCGCATCTTTCAAATGTAGTATAAGTAGAGGAAAAACATGATGTTTCTAAGTTTTTACTTCAGCTATCAAGGTGTTTTTTTTTTAATTTTACTATTACTGTTAAGTTCAGATTGTTCGTGTTCTAGAATTATATTGCAGTTCAAGAGGAAAAGTAGCACTAATTTAAGTGTGTGTGTGTGGTGAACAGAAGGGCAATAAGTATTTTATTTCCTATGTGTTGGAGAGTAATTATTGGTTGGAGTTATGGAAGTAACGTCCTTAAGACTTTTTGTGGTACTTTAGATAAAGATTATTATATATTGTCAATGGTGAGCGGAAATTTCCCAGAAAGTAGACTTAGGAAAAGAATAATTTAGTGAGTGGCACTTATGGAAGAAAGTAGCAAAAGTAAAGAAGAAGGAAAAGGACTGATAAAAAGTTGGTTTTGAAACGATAGATAAGAAGAGGAAATAAAAAAAAAAAGAAAAGCGTGTTGTCTGGAGGAAGAAAAGGAGTAAAACAGGAAAGAATAAAAAAAATTTTAGTGAGATGGATAAATTGGATATATTAATGAAATTGGTAGAAGAATTAAAAGAAGAAAACCAAGAAAATGGAAAGAACGTCACGAAAACAAAAAAAGAGAGGAACAAGAAAAAATAAGAAAAGAAGAAACTAGATGAAATTCAGGAAGAAAATAAAAGTGTAAAGGAAAAGATGAAACGTCTGGAGAAAAAGACTAGTGGAAAGGTACAGGAACTGGAAGAAAGATTGGACAAATATAATGAAGAAAGCGGAAAGGGATGGTTCAAATCAGGAAAGGACAGATTAAAAAGTGAAGGAATTAGTAATAGAGGAGCTGGAGATAGAGAAGCAAATCCAGAAGCAAGCAGGGGAGAAGGAGAAAGGAATAAGGAGATTAGAAATAGAACTAGAAAAGAAAAGAAGAGAAGAAAAATAAATTAACTTGATAATCTTTGGAACAGAGATACAGGAGAATAAAGAAGAAATGGAGTTGGAAAGAGTTATAAAAGAGAAGATGGAATTGAAAGTGGATGTGAAGTTAAAAAAGAAGGTATATGGGACAAGAATGGAAAAGTGGGAAGATAGACTACAGGTAGTTAGATGTTAGAAGGCTGAGGACGGAGGTTTATATAAGAGATGATATGGCTATGGAAGAGAGAAGAATACAGAGGATGTTGGAACATTTGGTAAGAGAGGAGAGAAGAAAAAATGGGGGTAAGATGGTTACATTTGGGTATAGGAAAAAAGAAAAAGGACATTTCATTAGAAATAAGGAAGTATGTGGGGGATAATGTAGGGAAAATAAATAAGAATAAGAATGTAAAGTGTAACTTAAAAGCACGACAGATCATTTGTTGGTATGTTGTGAAGTTAGCATAATTGTAAAATAACCAGTTTAGTTTAATAAAGTTTATATATCTATTTTTTTATCTTTAGTTAATTATAAGACAAAAATCTTCTGTGGCATTTCCCTAGAAAATGCGTTATTTAGTTTAGATATCAATTTTGCAGTCGAACATTACACGTTCCGGAGTTTAACTATTACACATTACTTACAAATTGAAAATATTAAACTTTAATTGAGTATGTATTCACCCTCAACAAAAATTATTTTTGCAAAAACATGTTCATATTTGTCACATATTTTTCGATCATTGAACGTCCATAAATAATTTTCGTTCTAATTATGTTAAACAAGCTCCTAAAAGCTCGATTTTTTTGTTATGATGCTGTTTACTTGCCCACCAAATTTGCAAATACCGAATTACGTTACTTTGCAACGAAAGCATTTTTCTAAAAAAGAATAGGCCCTTAAAAAATAAAAAACAAAATTGGTTGCTAATTGTAATTTGGATTACAAACCATATATGTAAAAACGTCAGTAATGATATCAGATCAAATTTGTGGCACTGGTATAAAAATTAATTTTTTAATTTTAATTTTAATTTCTTGGCAAAAACATTCTATTGCTTTATTGTTTTTTAGTGCATTGAAATGTAAGCGCAGTTTTTAACAGTTTTTGCCAATTTATAAATAAGAAATCAATTATATTCTATCTAAC